CAGAATAATTTATTTTCACTCTAATTTAAAACTGTATGTTGAACTCAGCTTTTTTTTTCTTTGAGAAATAATGTTGGCATGTATATGTCTGGTTTTATTATTTTTAGTTGCTCTTATCATTGAGATTGGGCAAGAAAAACTATAAAAAATGAAATACGTTTCATAATATTTGGAGGGAAAAAATATGTTGTGTCTTTATGACAAATTTGTTTCTTCATAGGATCTTTCTTATGACCTATTTTGTCAGCAAGTTCTTGTATCTAGGAACATTATTTCTGTTGGCTAGACAATTTCAAAATGACAGAGTGAGATTAATAACATAAATACAGATTTCCTTGTTTTATTGATTTATTGGGTCCTAAATCTTTGAACACTCACCTCTATTAGTCATTTGACTATTGAGAGCTATGAAAAAGTTACTCAGATGTATAAGTGTTTGCAAGGAGGAGTATCTTTGTTAAGTGAAATTAATTAGCAACATACAGCAAAGAAAGAATACCTCCTGTGAAAGTATCACTATAATACTTTGGAGAGATCAGATATGTACAGACATAATCTATTTCTAGGAATTGTGCAAGGGAGAGGCTTAAGAAATATCTTTGTCTGAAATGTGTTCACATTCCTGCTTCTATTTCACCCACTTCAACATTTTATCCAGCATGGGTGTAGAAAAGTTACTTGTCAGGCCATAATTTCTCATACATTAGCATGGCTGTAAGATTTGGGAGACTTGGATAAGGGGACTCATCTTATTAAGACTTGATATACTAGTTTATTTTTTCTCTGAATGAACATGAATACCAAGCTGCACATGAGTGAGTAGATGGCATTTTCATTGCAAACATGTAAAGTGAGTGCTGGGCTATGTCAGCACGAATATGATTAGCAAATTGTCAAGATTGTTACTTCCCTCTGGTGCTGGAGAGGCACATGGAATACTGTGTGCACTGGTTTTGGGGTTCCCTGCTTCCACAAGCATAGGGAGAAAATGGAGGAAGTCTAGCAGAGGGCCCTCTGCTCAGAGTGGTTGAAAGAGATGGGCTTTAGTTTGTTGGGGTGAAGATCCACAGTGAGCTACATGAAGGAGTTACAGAGGATGGAGCAAAAGTCACTTGGGCAATGCTGAGTGATATAAAAAGGAAAAATGGCCACAAAGTGCAGACCAAGAAATTAAAATGGAGCTTAATGAGGCTGATGCAGCACTGGTGCAGGCTGCTCATTGAAGGCTGTGGAATCTCCATCCTTGGTGGCTATCAGGACTGGACTATTTAGCCCCAGCAGAGTTGAACTCGTATTGGCAAAAGCCCTTCTCTGCTCTCAGTGGGAGGCTGAACTAGTTCATCTCCAGAGGTCACCTATAATAAACACTCCTCTTTTGCAGTGCATATTATCATGAAGTCTAAGACCTTTTACAACATTAAAAAAGAAAAAATGAATAATTTAAAAAAAGGTGACTTCTTGATTTTGATTTCATGCTACATAACTTTCTAAGGCAGAGTAGGTGGCTGTTTCTTTTCTCTCCTTGGTTAATTTTTGAGACTAGTTGAGATTTTGCTGATACACTCAATTAATGCTGATACACTCGACTTTGGGTGAGATGGATCTAAGCCTAAACAATGTAATTTCACCTGATGGAATGGTGTTCTGTTTTCATGTTCTTCATTGTTGTGATCTATTCCCAGAAGTGAAATTAAAATTACAAAAAATTTAAATTAATACAGGTATTTAGTATTGAGCCATCTTCCAGAAAGATCTTTTCTACCAACATACATCAACTTCACTACAGAGGAAAGAAGTTAAAATAAGTGTCAAATCATAGCTTCTTAAAGAAATTTTCAGATTTCTGTATTCCCATATAATGTAAATTTACAAATAATTGACTGCCATATGTATGTTTTATGTGTTGTGGTTTTAGAAACTGAGGGTGTGCAGTCTCTCAACAATAGCCATAGAATGAACAGATCTAAACAGACTGTAGAGAAATAATTATTTCTGTCTCTCTCACACAGGCTGTGTTGAAAGCAGGGCTCTGTACAACCTCCTTGTTGTGTTGTTTACATGCCTGCCAGAAGTGGTTTGTGTTTTCAGTTGTCTCTCAACCTGTATGTGTCCAGCACAACAACAAGGGTATCTAGTCTCCCCACCCCAGTGGCAAACTACAGCAGAGAAATTCATAAACAGAAACTTACTGGTGAATTATCCCCATCCACAAAGTCTGCTTCTTACCAGAGTAGGGAGAGACATGCTGCTGTCAGTTTGAGATGGTTCCCAGCTGCTGGAATGCATAAAAAACCATCCCCCCCATGAAGTCTCCTCAGGCATGCTGGGATAGGGGAACACCTGGGTTGCTCACAGATATGGGACCTTAAAAAAACAGCTGAAAAAGTCCAAAAAAGCAGCAGTCTGGCAGGGATAGTGCTGACAACTTTTCTATTATTGACAACTTTCTGGCACTAGTCATAGCTGCAAGCCTTGTTTTGCAGGTAGACTATCTAGCCTGCTGCAGACTTGTAATATTGACACTAATTTATGTTTATGAGGAAAAAAGAGGGAAGCTAGTAATTTGTACTGTTGAGTGGGGACCTTTTGAAGATGGTGTTTGAAGGTGCCAAACATGTCAGGCAGACTCTTTGGATTGTAAAAAAATGGTGAAGCAGTTAGCAGAGAACATAAGGATCAAACAAAGTCAGAAGTTCAGAAACCAAGTCTCGGATTATTCTTCCTTACCAATCAGGATAACAAACCACACACTGGCAGGCAGCCCATCTCAGTAAAACCTCAGAAAGTCTTTGAATTAAATGTGAAAAAAAGATCTTCTGAGCTGGTTCTTCTGGCTCACTTCATGCTGTGGCAAGTGCCTTTTTCATGGGCAGTGGAAGGAACTGGCCTGACTTACCTGTGACCAGGCTTTTTGTGCTCTTCGCTGAAGATTTTCTCAAGGCTGCTGTTGGGGTGCTGGTTCTAGTTTGTCACCTCTGCTGGGGACACTAATGAGTCTGTCAATACAAACTTTGGCTACGTGTTTCAAGGCACTGAACTGATGTAAATTTCATTCCTTTCTATCAGGCAACTTTATGGTGTTCTAAAAGTTGTGATCTAGCTATCATCAACAGAGCTGCCTGGAAAAACTTATTTTTCCTCATTCCTTTCCCACATGCATGCCACAGTCTCTAACAGTAGTAAAACCCCAGTGATTAACATGTTTAAAATGTATGTAAGATGTAGGGTCAAGTGCCATCACAAGGTGGGTTACTGTGAGACAGCTTCTTATCTGTATGGAGAAAGTTCTTCTAAATAGCTGGCAGTGTCACTGGGGCACTATAGAGGTCAAATGTTGTTCTTCTATTATTTCTAGAGCCCCATATTGTTGTTATCAGATTTCTAAAGTCCATACCTCTTGGGTGTATTCTCATGGCTGCAGATCATCGCTGCACAGACTCCTTCTGCATGCTGCTCTCTCTCAGGTTAGGGCTCCTCCAAGGCTCTCCCTGACTGGCTAACCCACCCCCTTTTATCCCAGTCATCTTCATTGGTTACAGCTGCAGCCCAATTAAGGACATCACAGCTGCAGCCCATCAAGGGCAACGGGGATCTCTGGGGCAAAGCCTCTATACAGATATTCAAATACATTTCCTCTACTATATTTCCCCCTTTGCTTTTACTTAAGTTAACAGTTATACAGATGTTAAATTACAACACAATACATTTTCTTATGACTCACAGGTCATGTACAACACCCATAGCTCTTTGCTCAAAGGCCATACTCTTTCACAGCTCCCTGACCCAAAGGCTATGTTCCATCACAGCTCTTGGCCACCACAGCTCTCGGCTGTCTTATGTTCTGTTAACTATCACGTCAGGATCACCACTTGTTGTTCTTCTATTATTTCTAGAGTCCCATATTGTTGTTATTAGATTTCTAAAGTCCATACCTCTCTGATGTATTCTCATGGCTGCAGATCTTTGCTGCATGGACTCCTTCTGCTGCACACTGTTCTCTCTCAGGTCAGGGCCCCTCCAAGGCTCTCCCTGACTGGCTAACCCTGCCCCCTTTTATCCCGGTCATCTTCATTGGTTACAGCCGCAGCCCAATTAAGGACATCGCAGCTGTAGCCCATCAAGGGCAACTGGGACCTCTGGGGCAAAGCCTCTATACAGATATTCAAATACATTTCCTCTACTATAGTCAAACTGCTCAGTGCCTGCTTCATATTGCATTTTTTTGACGTTTTTGCCTTGAGTGAAGATCATAGCTAAATTCAAATCTTTTTGTTATCCAAGGTGGACATAATTTCAGCAAGCTTTTGTAGTGGACTTTATTTGCCAGTCATGTTAAACTGCTTTTTGTACTGATTTTATATTAAAATTTTTACACACATACACACGTGTGTGTACGTGTGCCTGTGCCTGCATATATATATATACACATATATAGATAGATAGATAAACTAGTAACTGCACATTTAGAGATTGTATGTTATGATAGACTTTAATTTCCTTCATTTCTATACTTGAGTATTTTGCAGAGTATAAATGTACATTTGAATGACTGTTTGACTTCTCTTGCCTGGGAGGACTTGGGAGACTTTTATGAGAAAGGAATATAACTCTGTCACTATTACTGTTTGCTACCTCCAATAGTAAAATATTAGCAGACTTAAACTTTTTATTTGAGTGACTGTTGTCACTGCAGTACTGTACATATCAAAATACAAAATAGTCTTGTGGAAGCAAAAAGTCCTGCTACATGAATGCAGTCTGGAGTCTCTGAAGGTGATGGTTATATAAATGTAACTAAACATTTATATAGTTCTATTTTAAAATTCTTCCTGCAAAAATCCTTATTTTTTAAAAATTATTTTGCACCTTTTAAGAAATGTGTGCTGGAAATAGAATTGCTTTTTTTGTGCTAACTTTGAGTTCTCTGAGTTTTGTTATATTCGGATATAATTATGACATCTTAAAATAAAGAAATTATAATTTCCTCTTTTTCTTTGCAGAGTCACAGTGTACACTCTGTGGGGAGCCTGAAGGTGAGTGTGTTTTCCTACTATTTTTCAAAGCAGCTAGAGGTGAACACCTCACTTTAATATTACTCATGTACAATAGATTGAAAATAGTACATAAATGATGGAAACCAATGAAACCTATGCAGATACAAAAAGTTATTTGAATTAAGCTGAGCACATGCTCTAGACAGGAAATACCTTAAAGGACAAATATTCCATTAGAACAAAAATTAAAATATTTACTTTTATTGTTCTTTTGTGTGTTTTTCTAACTAATTTGTCAGTAAGTGTGAGTGTAAAGAGACATTTAAGGACATCAATTTGAGTATGGAAATCATAGAGATTGGATGTAAAAGAGAAATGAAAAATATTTTTAGATTTTAGATTAGATATTACATTTACAGAGAAGCTGACACATTTTAGCAGATGTAGTGAATAAATACTGCTTCTGAAACAAAGATAATTAAGCAGAAGCCTTTGTAGTTCAAATACAGGCCCACATGGCAGTGTTTGTTGGTTTGTTTTGTTAGGGTTTTTTCCAAGTGACTAATTGAATACCAAGATGAGACACACATTTCACTTAAATGAATGCTCAAGCAATGAGAATATGGTTTTTAAAGTATGCCATTATTGAAGAAAATATCTCTAATTTATTTATCATTTATTAAGATTGGTGCTCTTATAAAGAAAATGTTGAAAGATTGACTTAGTTTGAAATCAACTACCTGGAGTCTTTCTAGAGAATAGAGTTCAAAATAGTCAGTGTAAATGGAGCAAAGTGTATGAACAAAAAAATAAAATGATAGAGTCTAGGCTTTTCACAAAGACATTCAGCTTTATGTCTTGAATAGTTTCTGATAAAAAAGTTTCAGCTTCTAATGTTTTATAAATTTGGTGGGGACAAGTTATTAGGATATGAAGCCTGGAAGTGGAAAGCTTTGAGATCTTACACCTAATGAAATAACTCAGTAAATTAAATAATAATTATCTCCTTCTCTTTTGTTATCTACTGACAAATAATTCTTTTAGAAACTTGTTTTGACTGCATTCCTATAATAAACAGTCAGTTGTTGATTTTTAAATTTTCTTTGTCCTTTTTTTGATAAATTTGTAATAATACAGATACAGGTATGAAAGGGAAAAATGAGATTAGTGTTTGTTTGCCTTTCATGAGATATTTCTCTCCTGATAAAGCTGGCCAACTTTAAAGTTATGCATTGGATTAGTTCTGTTTTATTATATGCTTTGCCTGCTTCATAACAATAGTTTTCCTTTCTTTTCATTACTGCTCTTTCATACCTCTTCAGCTTTGCAAATATTAATAAATATATATTGACTTTGTAAAAAGGGAATAAAAAAAGGATAATATTTTTTTAAACATTTACATGACTAAAAACCCACATTCAAAAGATAACTGTGTGCATTGCTGTAGGAGCAGGCCTCAAGAACATAACATTCAGTTTTTAGCTATACAGAAATGAACTTTCCCAGGAGTGAACATCTCCTGGATCACCAGTCTATCCTCTAAAACACAGTATTAGAGGAATGCTAATTATTAATTATCTGCTTCAATTTTAAAAATATTGATATAACTGTCACCTTAGATTAGTGACAAGACTTAGAATCTGAAGCTTTTCCCTTGCCAGATTAGCACAAATTCTTATCTAACACTGATAATTCACAGAAGTTTGATTCTTAATTTTGTGATGAAGAAGCAATTGTTCTGGCTGCTGAATTTAGTTTGTAGAAGACCATTCTAAGAGAAACTTCATATCTCTGTTGTTTAAACCAAAACAAAAACAAAAACCCTCAAAAAGATCCTTTTCCTATGCAATGTTCTATAAATTTTGGTTCCATTGTACACTAAGAGAAGGGAAGAACTAAAAAATCAAGATTTTGCAGTGTTCTAAGTGTAAGTTCTGACTTTTCTCTGTAGTCTTCTTCAGAAATTTGAGATACTTTGTGGCTTGTAGTATGTATTTTTGAAATTAGAGGAAAATTCAGAGAGTATTAGTTAAAGTTAGATACTGTTTGCTTCCAAGTTCCTTTTTTCTTCCTCCTTTTCAGTTAAAGAAAAAAAAGTTCACGAAGTGCCTTAAAGTTCTTAAGTATATCAAGGTGAATTTGCAGAATTATAGGATAGAGGTGCCACAGTGCAGTCCTCCTATGCTAGTTTCCAAGGTGTTAAGCAGAGATTCATCTGACAAATAGTAGATGTGGGGAAATCTCCTGGGCTTGGGTGAGAGGATGACAATGTTTCACACCTTCTGTTTTCTGGGTTCCTTGGAAGCTGTTTATGCCATTTCCTGAAAGACCTGCAGGCAGCTAGGTGTGTTCTGATCATGTTTGGCCTTCTGTAACAAGAGTGACAGAATGGAAGCATTTTGCAAGCCCCAAATTCTGATTGTCAAGTTGGTCAGCTGTAGTCTCACTTCTCATTACAGTTCATCCTTTCTCTAACCATCACTCCCCTTTCAAAACCAGCACTTTTGTCCTGGATTATCTAAGTGTCATAAAAATGACTGTGTAAAACAGAGCTCTTTGCTGGGGGCACTTTGCCAAGGTTTTAGGAGTTAGTGCTGCAGTGCAGGAAGCAAGGAAGTGCATTTATCTGCATACCCGTTGTTGCACAGGCGTGGAACTGTGTGTGTACTGTGCTGTTCTGTAGGGTGAAAACATGTCAGATATGAAAGGGAGATATAAATTATGAGAGTACACATTCCTCATTTCAGTGTTTTGCCTGGGAACTTGGGGTTCTGCAGTTAAATGTGTCACATGTCCTTCTTTGCATCCTATCTAAAGAGAATGAGTTGGACAAAACTCCCTGTCTGAGAATGAGTTAGACAAAACTAAAGAGAATGAGTTGGACAAAACTCCCTGTCTGAGAATGAGTTAGACAAAACTAAAGAGAATGAGTTGGACAAAACTCCCTGTCTGAGAATGAGTTAGACAAAACTAAAGAGAATGAGTTGGACAAAACTCCCTGCTTGAGAATAAGTATCTTGTATGAGCTGCAAGGACTTGTGAGTTCTATTTTAAAAATCATGGGTTTGCTCTGTTACTGATAGTGTACCAGGCACCATTCCTGACAGTGTGAGATATTTGAAGAGCATCAGGGGTTTTTTTTATACTAGGAGGAAACTAAAGTTGCAGAATCCCATTAGCATGGCTACTTCAAGCAGATCCATCTTCTGGAAATGCAAGAGCAACAGTGGCTTGTTTTCAGAGGGGTAACAACAGCTACACTTGGGGAAGTGATCTGCAGTTGACAGATTATGTTGTCATGGTGAACATTGCAGGGTTGTTCTTTGCTTTATTCCTGCTCAGATTTAAAGTGAGGGTGGCATGTTATAGACACATGTGTTCTGAAGTACTCTGTGACACACACTGGTGTAGTCATGAGACATTTCAGGAACAGTTTTCCCCATAAAGCCTCTAGCAGATATTTCTGTTCTTTCTAAACCTTTGTATTTATTCATAGAAGGTTTTGAAAGGATAATATTATCAAATAAAATTTTCTGTATTATCAAAGCAGAAAACAAGTGCTTTTGGTGGCAGCTAAGGTTTCAGTAGACCACTCTTTCTTCTCAAAGCTTATACAAATGAAAGCTTTTCTTCCAGGCATTTTTTATATCTTTCATAACTCCAGCAGTGTCTTACTCTTTCAATAAGATACTCTTTCCAGGTAATTCAGATTCTTCCTCAATGTCTCAGATCTCTTTTGGGCTGTGGTATACAGCTACAGTTTGAATTAAGTTCATCCATTATTTTTTACCAGTAACTGGCACAAGAACACTGGTTGGTGTTGTTAGATTTGCTGGGTTTGTGGTAGCAAACTTTAAATAGTGAGTCTTTTAATTAGTAAAATAAATATTCTATGCAAAAGGATAGCTTAGAAGAGATCTGTTTCTTAATGTATCTCACATTGCACATTGGATTTTTTTCCTAAACTTGTTCTTCTGTTAAGTTAAACAGTTAATAGTTTGTACAGCCAATGCATAGATACTGAATTATTCCAAGTGTCAAAAGATTCAGAAATTTCTTACAATTATATTTTATCTGATAATAAATTCAATTGTCAGAAGATTAAGGTTTTTTTACTGTTGATTTCAATTTTGAGATCAGATGCCCACATAATTTTGTCTTCCTTTGAGAAAGAATAAGTTTGTGCAAATTTTCTAGCACTTGCAAGAATGCTAGCATATGTCACAGGTTTACCCTTACAGAAGTTTATATCAATTACTTTTAGGAGGACTTTTAATATGATTAATAGTGGAAGATTAATTTAATTTATTTTTATTCTATTTTTATTTAGTAAAAAAAGTTTTGAATGTTCTGAAATAAAAACCAATTATACTGTTGAATTTTATTTGCTCACAAGATGTATAAAATATTCAATATAACTTGAAAAAAAATATGAAATATAAAAAAATAGTTGACAATAACAACAAAAAACTCTATATTCCTTGATGAAAAAAATGTATTTTCATACAGATATGTCAGTGTTAAAGAGATGCATGTATTTCAGGTGCTATTAGCTTTGTTGCCTTTTGTGCTCTGGTTAATGCTAGTATGTTGGAGTTTAGGGGGAAATTGGTCTGGTTTTTTTGTTTTGTTTTGTTGGTCTGTTGTTTGGTTGGGGCTTTTTGTTTGGTTTTGGTATTGTTTTTCTTCTTTAAATAAAGAATCTGGAGAGTAGGTAGTACAAAAAATACCCTAAATTTGGCAATATGTCTTAATATTGATGTTGTTCCATCTGTGTAGTTCTGGCTCTGAATATAAACATTTCCCTTGGTATCTCATGGAAAACTATTACAGGCATATTAATAACTCCAGAGAATTTCCTTAATCTTCATTTTGCTAATCTTAACTTTTAGTAATCTGTGCTGAGTGCTGACAGTTCTGCCACTATTAGCAATGACTTTCAAGAGTCCTGTAGTCTTAACTTTTTATACTTGAGGAGGCCAAGTACATTTCACAACACATAATCCTGACTTTTTAAGGAAACAATAGCAGATAATGAA